GAATTTTAAAGCACTTCCTGCTATAAGCAATGCAAGATGGAACTCAAGAACGATTTTTGTTTTGCTTGCTTACGTTTGAATATCAGGCTATCAAGAATCGAAAACTGCTCAAGCAGCATGCAACTTCATCTGTGGTTCATGGGGTGATATATGGTTTGGTGATCACTACTTCAATTCTGCAAATTTTGTTAATCTTTAGAAGCATGCAATGAGCATCCAAAATCATTAAAATCGTTGAAAACATTTTGGTCTACAGAGCCATCACCGATTTCAACAAACATATGTGCAGAATGTGCAGTAAAAACGATGCAAGATTTAGTGCCTTTATGCCATAGCTTAGAAAAACTTAACATTAAATACTTATTGTTAAATACACTGTAAAATTATTTTAATTATTCATGTTTGTTAGTTTTCTATAAAGTACTGGAACATGTGTTGCAAAATAACATTTCTTATATTCTATTAATCTTGTTTTTAAATGGGGGGGGGGGGGTGAACTTTTTCTAGATATAGTATAAATGTTTGATATGTTCTTGATTTTTGCATAAAAACTCCACTTAATTGAGTATGGGTATACAGGGTTGAAAAATTATCATACCCCTTAGGTGGAATTTACATTTCCAAACGAATTGAAACATTTAAGTTCACTCAAAAAGGAAAGCCACAAAATTAGAGCATGATGGGCACATTTTAGCAAACCTGCAAATGGCTTGAATTGCCACAAACTATAGCACTAACCCAGTTTCATAATAAACTAAAAAAATTATTTGTCGAGTGTGAGGGAGTGTACAATAAATGCTACGTAAAGAACATGTTAAAAGATAAATTTGGATTTCATTCATCTGGAATGCTGCTGGATTGTTTTCATTAAAAGAAACACTAAGATCAAGCTGGTTGGAATACATGCAAAGCATATTGGAAGGTGATCATTCACCCAAATCTAACTATTCTAATTATTATCAAAACAAAAACGACTGATCTTAATCCTTAAAACTTGATGTGTATTTATTCTACTTTGCTATTTGTCATCAATCAATCAAATACTTAATGTGGAAACACCTTTAATTATATTCAACTAACAATTATGGGGAAAAAATCAAAATTAAAAAGTCTGTTAATATATTAGGCAATTAAGAAAGTTCCTGCAATTTTTATTTATTGTCTACTTCTATAAATTATATTCAGTAAACAGGATGTAGTGGTGGGGTTTTTCGTAGATTGTTCAGAATAGTTAGTTATATTTCGAGGAGTATTATTTAGTGTATTTGATAAGCTTGCTTACTTTGAATTGTAAAACTTTTAGTAGGTTGTATTAAATGCAACAATTTTGCTTATTTAATTTAATAAATTCAAACATGGTACCAAAGCTTGCTATAGAATAAGTGCTGCTTTTGAGAATGCTTTGCTTTTAGCTAAATGAATCGGTCAGAAGTGGTTTGAAAAATTTGCTTCAGGAAATAAAAATCTGGAAGATGCACGCCACTCCAGAAGGTTCATTTTCTAACAACCAATAATAACAATATAAAAGTGGCAATTGAGCAGGATTTAAGTCAAAAAAAGGAATATGTGTTTGATGAGAAAAGGTAATACTTTAATATTACTTAGTTGTAGTGCAACTAGGTGGTTTCCATTACAGATGTCTTTTTCCGGTAGCATTAGGTCTTCTATGAATGCTTCGAGAATGGAATGAGCTCATCAATCTGTTTATGGAGAGAACATTGTGACAGCAATACAGAAAGCATTCTTGTTAATTCTGGTCTCAATATAATGCTCCAACAGCTTGCTAATTCTAACTTATTGAAGAACAAATTGACACATGAAAAAATAAGCAAGATCAAAGTATTCTGCAAGGAAATCTCTAAAAAAAAAAAAAAGTTTATTGTGTATTATGTATCAACATTAATGTTGATACACTTTGTGCAGCTTGTGTACACCTTGTGTAGTCATTGAAAAGGTAATTTCTATTATTGTCTTACTAAAAACTGTATTAGCTTCCAAGTTACATAAGGCAAAAAGACTAAGCAAAATGCTCAATCTTTTGAAGACACAGGAAAAATTTACTACGCAAAATCTGCACAACTTTACATACAATGCATGCTTAAACTTGCTCAAACTCCATGGATGTATCAAAAGTAGGCTGCTGATCGTTTTCATGCATTTTGAAGATCTGAGCATTTTCTGGCTTGGTTGTTGCCAGATCTTGTCATTGAAAATGTTGGGCTTGTTGATGCTTCTACAACACCATTTAACTTTAATTTACAATTAAAATTGAATGGTGTTGTAGAAGAATCAATAAAACAAAGAGAACAAGGTAGAAGAAATAAAGACAACCATTATATGATCTGAGGAATGCTGTTCATATCAAGAATTAAAAGATCATGCAACTGATAGGAATTGCTTGATTATATTATAAATTGCTTTAGTTTATGACTTAACATGATATTAGATGATATTAGAAATTGCTTTAGTTGATGACTTAAGTGATGATATTAGAAATTGCTTTAACTATGAATTGGCTCTAGTATTGTTTGAAAGCATTGTTTACTTTATTTTTAGATTGTCTGGAAAAGTGATAAAACATTAACAAAAACACAATATTGACATGTACAGAATGTTTAAGAAAACTAACTTCAAAAAGGAATTATTGTTATTGATGGTTATAAAAATATTTCATCAACACAGATTATCAGTATCATTGGAAGTCAATGAGGTCACCCAGTTATCTTTGTATTGAACAATAAATGGGTCAGAAAACCAAAACACTGTTTTTTCAAATAAATTCAAAGTCAAATAAATTGAATAATTAAAAGTTGAGTTTTGATGGCCTTACTCATACAAAAGATGACACTGATACAGAGAGCTAAAACAGCATTATTCATTTAAAAGATAGTTAAAGCAACATTACATCAATAATCAAATCAATTCAAATATGGAGATTCAGTAAGAGTGGTTGCTAATATTTTCTAGGTTACTGATATACTCATGTTGATATACTTTTGGAAGGAGATGATTCAGGTTGTTACAAAATCAAACTATGATATAAATGGTAGAAGTCAATTCAAACAACTGAATATAGAAACTGCAACAAGTAACTAACAAAGTTCAGTTTTTAGTAAACTTGCTTGTGATTTATATGTTTGGTGGATGTGATCCTCTAGACATAATAAAAGGTAAAGCTTCACCACTCCACCTAAATTAAAAAAATTGATAAAGGCACACAGTTTATGGCACTGCTTTGCGAACTTGTTCAGTGTGGAAAACATTAATGAATTGTAGTTTGAATAAGTGGGAATGGGGTTGGAAGTTCATAAATGGAAAAATGGCACCTAATATGAATGACAAGGCAGCTAATCTTTTTCTAAAAAAAAAACCTTCTTCTAAAAAGCTCTTATAATTTAATTTGAATTTAATGAAAGTTTTTTTAATTTAAAATAATGTTATACTTTAACATTTTTTTAGAAAATTGCCTCAGAGGAAATTATTGAAATTTAAAAAAAGCTATGTTCATGTTAAAGAAATTATCTTAATTGAATTTTGACATGTGCAATTCCAATGTGGTGAAGGTGTTGGTCATGAAAATTTAAATTTTGAAAAGAAAACCCAAAGAACTTTTTTTTTTTTTCAAGTTGATTTAGGTGCCCCAAGAATTCCTTATGGTCTTATCACAGAGTACCGCGGAAGAGCATTTAATAGGAAGTTCACGCCTCCTTCCCATCTGATGTCACAAAACTTGCTTTGAGGTGGGGTTTGAACCACGGATCTTACGTTTCTGAGGCAAGCACACTACCACTGCGCCACGGCTGCGATGAACTTTCTAATGACAACTTCCTAGATATTTATCATATTTGGCACCTCACTTTAGCATCATACTATGAAAAATTTATTTTTTTGTATGTCAGTGCTTAAGAATTCTCTTTTTGCTTCATGCTTTCCTGACTAACAATTTACAGTTTTTTGAGTCTTCTTTCAACTGTTTTCTTGCTCTTTAACAAAATTCTTTGTTTTCTGTTAACTTGTAACTTTAAAAGTGGTTGTGTGCTGCCTTGCTGGAAGTTTATTATAAAATAAAATGGTAAAACCAAAAAAAGTAAACAACTTATTTTTGCTTCGCTTATTCAGAAGCACTTGGACAAAAAAAAAAGTCTTTTAGCTCTTTAGTTAAAAAGTTTTCTCTAGTTAAAATTTTATAATAAGTGGTAAATTTTATTTTTTAATTGGTTTTTTAAGATTGGAAAAAAATTAGGCTTTAAAATATTATCTATATATATATATAAATGTGCTTTTTTTTATTTAAAAAAAAATAAAAAAAAGCACATTTATCATCAACGATTTACCAACAAACAATGCTAAATTTATTAAACATAAATAAATAATTAAACAAAAAATAATTAATTAAACATAAAAAATAATTAATTAAACATAAATAAATTATTAATTAAACATAAATAAATTATTAATTAAACATAAATAAATTATTAATTAAAAATAAATAAATTATTAATTAAAAATAAACAAATTATTAATTAAACAAATAAATAATTAATTAAACATAAATAAATTATTAATCAAACATAAATAAATCTGAAATGCAAGAACTTTCAATGTTTTATTATTACGTTAAGCTTTATAACAATTGAAACACAAATGTGTGTTATAAAAATTTAACATGCAAAAACTACATAATACATTATAATATAATCTTAAATAAATTTCCCTCCCCTTTATAATCTAATAAGATTAATTATTAGATTATAAGCACTTTTTAAGCAACCTTGTACATTAGTATGCTTTTAACAACTTGTCAATGCTTCTAAACCACAGCCAATTAAGTTTGAACAAAAATTGAAATAGTCATAACTAATGTGCATAGATTGACAGAAGGTAGTGAAGCATACATAATCAACTTTTAGGTTGAAACTTTTAAATTTCAATCCTCAATTCAAGTTCGGACATTAGGAGTTATAAAAAAAACTTCTGTTATAACAACTTTGAAAAGATACAGACATAAAAAAGCCGCCAAATAAAAACATCAACAAAAAATCTGCTGTTCTTCCGCGAAATGAACCCTCTTCCAGCATTCTGCAATATCTATATCTGTGTTAATATTTAAGGAAACATATTATGCAGTTCAATTTTGATGTAATACATTGTTTAATGTGATATATTAAGTTAATTGTTGCAAAAAAACTGTTAATTATTATTACAAAAAAACAAAGAAAAGATACGTAAATATCATGTTAAATAAAAAATTAAAACCAAAAGTTCCAAAAAAAAGAAAAGTAGTAACCAATCTCCATAACTAAAAAAAAAAAAAAAAAAAAAAAAAATAACTAAAAGCATATATAAAACATCAAAATCTAATTTATTTGCAAAAAACAACTTGTAAAAAACCAAAACAACTTGTAAAGAACAAGAATATCATTTACAAAATGTCAAATATATTAATAACTTTTAGAAAAAAAATATCTTATAATAACAAATATAAAATCATCAAAACTTACTTGAAAATTTCGGAATATTAGATCAGGGTTAAAATACAATTGAAATGGATTGACAAAGTCTAATTGCTATAACAAAATGTAAAAAATCTGTTAATTGAATATTATGCTTTATATAATTATCATATAATAATTTGTATATATAACAATAACTTTTAAATTTAATTATATTTGAATGGATCATTTCAAAAAGCTCATACATCACTCAATTAGAATATTTTCGGAATTAATAAAAACTGTTTCATGCACAAACAAATGAGTTTTAAAGGACTTTTTTATGCTTAATTTAGTACTTGAATGCTAAAAAAATTAAATAGCAAATAATCTTCAAATTTTATTAATAAAATTAATGTAAAAAATCTGAAAAATTGTTCTTGACATATGTTGTTTTGCATGAAATAGAATTAGAGGTATAAAATTTAACCAAAACAATTGTAGTAATCATATTTTTTATTGCTGATTATTGAAAGTTACACTTTAAAGTAACCTTATCAAAATTTTACATGTATTTATTGTCATGTATTCATTGTCATGTTTTAACATCTTCAAGGTACATAGTCATATTCTCCATCATTCTCATCTGGATTATCTTCAACATTAGCAGTTGTCCAGCTAAAAATGTTATTATAAAATGGCATTTGCTCTTCCAGAATGCTGTCCTGAACTTGCTTTAAATTGTCTATATATTTTTTTTTTATTGATAGACACTTTAAAATCATAAGCCTTGGTTAACAAAAGTGAAACAGAAGTTTTTTATTAATAAAAATGAATGCTTAATCAATCCATCAATATACTCCGCGGCAATGATAGTACCTTTACTATCTGAATCATACTGAAAACTCATTTATGTCAAAGGTGCAAATGATTTTTTCTGTTTTTTTTGGCCTTTTTCCGTAGAATTAGTTGACTAATATGTTTTTTTTGTACAAAATTGGCCAACATTTTTTTTATGACTCCAATCACTGTCATTTGGTAAAAACATATGGGAAAATACTGATAAACTTTTTCAAATCTTTTAGTGTCAATCAAAACCAACATATATCTCAACAACATACTATTTTTATTTTGACAGGGGCACCCTGAACTGCATAAGAAGCAAATTTGTTAGCAGGAAGATGAAAGATTTCTACCCAAGGGCCATCACAAGGAAATCACAGAAAAAGTTCTAGTCAGCTTTAAGGTAGTTGTAAGAGATACAATAATAAGATTCTGATGATGAAGAAGAATAAGATAATAGTTTTAGGGAGATCAAACCATGATCAGAAACACCTGAATGTGTGAATCTGAGCACTGACGATCAGAAAGAAGACATAAGTCAAGTAGAGAAGGTAAATGATTCGGATTGTCTGGAAAACAAGTCTACAAGAAAGTTGACTATTTGTGTTAGAGATTGAGAAAGATAAAATTTTTGGGCCTTAACGCCTCCAGAGTCAATGACACTGGAACCAGGTCATTTAGTGTGATGAGCATTAAGTCACCAACAGAAAAGATATTGGCTGAAGGATAAAAAGAAAGGATTTGGTCAATTTTATCAGAAACAACATCAAAAAGAGTGCAGTTTTAAGATGAAGGAGAGCTATATAGAACAAAAAGAAAGGTGATAGAGTGATGATTTATTAATTTAAATCTTCTTACCTGCTGATTAAATAAAACGAAAAGATGGGAATGTTGAAATTTAATTATAACCTCAAAATTTTGCTAGAGATACTTACTAACGTGTTTATGTAATCAATTAGGTTTTCTTCGAAATAAATAAATGAGCTCTTAGTATGGGGAAGAGAACAACAACAAAATATTCATACTTCTCCCTCCATTTATTATTAGAAGTTTATGATGAGAAGTTTTAAAGTATGGAATGTTAATCGTTAACCCTAAGCCACATTTTACAAATCAAGGCAGCTAGTAGTTTCTACTATTCATTCTATGTTTCATAACATAGAATGAATGGTAGACACTACTAGTAAACATAGAATGAATGGTAGTACAAACACTAGTGAAGAAAATCAAGGAGATTAAACTTTATCTATTATAAATGAACTAGCTGATCAGACCCCCTATTTTCACACTGATCATTTTTATACTTATTCTTTATTTACTTCTATATTCTTTAGTAAATTTACTTGTTCTGAAAAATTGCTTTAAGAATAAACAAAAATAACATGCACACCTTTTTTGCATATACAGAGCTTATAAGAGATTTATAAAATGTTTTTTTTTCCTCTTAAATGCATCTTTAATGGCTCAGTGGTTTATAGAGCTGTCATCTGTCTCGTTTCATAGGGTTCAAATCTTCCCCTAAATTCACCTAAGCGCAATTTTTAAATTTTTTCAATCTTGCTGTATTTACTTATAGCAAAAAAAAAATATATATATATATATATATATATATATATATATACATATATATATATATATATATATATATATATATATATATATATATATATATATATATATATATATATATATATATATATATATATATATATATATATATATATACATATATATATATATATATATATATATATATATATATATATATATATATATATATATATATATATATATATATATATATATATATATATATATATATATATATATATATATATATATATATATATATATATATATATATATATATATATATATATATATATATATATATATATATATATATATATATAGCAAAAAAGACTTCTAGTTAAAAAAATTTTCTTATATTAAACATATATTATGCACAATAATTTCATATACCACCTGCAAACTCAACTTATGCTAAGACATATACACTTACAAACATTTGTATGTAACACTATACAAATGATGGAACTAAGAAGATGACATATTTTAGGCAGAAATTATCAAGAGAAGGAAGAGTCATGGCAAATCTAAAATTGAAGTTTCAAATTTTTCATTTGGATGAGACAATATGTTTTGTGTTTTTTCTAGTAATCGACTGAAACTCTGTTCGGTTCCAGCCACAACTCTGACCAGATTTTTCGGTTCCTTTTCTGGTATTATTTAAAATTTTGGTTCCAGACGAAATTTTGGTTCAAAATGCTACTGAAAATAGATATCTTCAAGCTTTATTAAGCATTATCATTTTGATAAAATAATTTAAAAAAAAGTTTTTTAAATGAAATGGTAAGCTTGAGAATTAATGGAAATAAGATTTTGCTTTGTTTGAAAACAAAATAATTTTCATATCTTGTAAAGTTTTTTTATCCTTATTATTTGAAAGATAATATTGTTGTTATGAGTATAACTTTTATATAAATAGATATATTAAATATTACAATTAATTAAAAAAATTGTAGTGTTAAAATCGTTAATATAAGCATAATTTATTGTTAATTATTGTCCAAAGGAAATTTTTGTGTAGCAATCATTATAGTAAATATTGGAAATACAAAAAACTTGTCAATTATATTTTTAACATTTGTATTTGACCCAAACCAGCAACATTGAAAAACCATCTTACATTTCATTCTAACAAAATCAATTCAAAAAAAACAAAAATAAGTTTAGCATGGGAGTACTTCAAAAAAAAAACAAGTTTAGCATGGAAGTACTTCATAAAAAAAAACAAGTTTAGCATGGAAGTACTTCATAAATGATTTTAGATTAGAAGTACTTCATAAATGAAGCAAACAATCCAATAATAGTTTAATGCAAAATATGTCAAAGTTTCAAAAGGATCAGACGACCCCAAAAAACAAAGATTATACGGACTAACGTCACACCTGAAGAATCATCATCCTGACATCAACATACGCCAGAAAGTTCACGAAATCCAAAACCCAATGAAGAAGCTGAACTCAAATTAAACAAGAGAAAGACAGTTCAATCTTCAATATACGATCAAAAAAACAAAGAATTGACATGTTAAAATCTATAATTCCAAACTGGGTTCAGGCTTCTTCAAAAATTGACAAAAATTTTACAAGTCAATATTTGAAATAATGGTTCTTGACCTCCAAACGTGGCCTATTGTTAATGATGCTGGGTTTTTGAGGCACCATGCTATTGTTGCTCCTAATTACAAAATTGCTTGCAAAAAATACTACAGAAGTTTACTGGATCCAACTTATGAAAAAATAAAATTTGCTCTTAAGGAAAAGTTGGTTCAATCAGAAGCTGAAAGTGTGTCAGTCTGTCCTGATGCATGATCATTATTTCATCATGGCTATCTGGGGATGACGATTTACTTTATTTATAAAGATTGGTACCGTGTCAAATTCTGCATCTCTTGTTCTCAATTTAATGAAAGGCATTCCATAAAAAACATTTTCAACATCGAAACAACAGCAGAGGAATGGGAAATTTGTCAGTGTCAGCTGGATGCCTTAGCCACTCCCTTCAACTTGTCATCAAAAAAGAACTATTTTCACATCCAATCATAGATAGACTAATTGTAAAGAGTCGAAAACTCTGTTCTTACGCATCTTATTCTACTGCTTTCTACACTGAACTTTACAGACAGCAAGAAATCCAAATGGATACAAAAGTCAGACTTAGCTTAAAAAGCGATGTTTCCACAAGATGGAACTCTACCTATTATATGCTTGAGAGAACTTTACACCTGAAGCAAGCCATTGCTGCCACCTTAATCAAATTTCCTTTATTGGGAATTAAATTTCTGTCCAAGATTAGAGCCTATGTAAAAAAATGGTGAACATTTTAAGAGTTTTTGAACATTTAACTGTATTCCAATTGTGACAACAATAATTAAAGCTTTGGAAACAACCTCTAGCGATATCAGTGTTCAGGAGTTGAAAATTATTATAATAATATTAAATTATTATAATTATATAATGCAATGGAAAAACGTTTTTCAGCAACTAAAAAAACAGAATATTATACAGTTGCTACTCTACTCGATCCAAGATACAAATGGTATTTTTTCAGATCTCAATGTGGTTTGCAAAATGCTAAACACATTGTCCTAATGTCCTAAACGGACTATTTTGAACCTCTAGATGAATTGGCTTCTGCAACTCAAATTCTATCCAACGACAACGAATAAATCTATCGTTTGTTCATATAATGTCATATACTATAGC